ATACCTAATAGTGATAATTGTTAGGATATAAATAAACACAACCAGTACTCTTGAACTTTGGGATATAAATACACTCAGCAGTATCGAATCTTGGTAAACAAGATGTCCCAAAAGTTACTTAAAATCGGACAAAAAGGTTCCGGAGGTCATTTAAAGAAACTTTTTCCTTCGCGGAAATGTAATCCGCGGCTTCGTTTGCGAGTTATTAACGAAAAACAGTGAGTACGGCTGACGCTCCGCCCTCGCGACCACTGTCGCTGCGTCAGTCGGCCGGCGTGACGAGGCATTGGCCGCAAGGGCGGAGCTCCGGCCGCACACGCTCTCCGATTGGTCAGTGTTTTTCGTTAATAACTCGTAAACGGAACCGCGAATTGCATTTGAGCAAAGGAAAAAGTTTCTTGAAATGATCTCAGGAACCCCTTATTTCCCAATTTAGAGTAAATTTGTGTCACCCTGTATTATATTGAAAATAAATTTTCAAAATTGGTCAAAAATTAGCCTCATCCATATGTAACCGACGCGGTGCTCAACATGTTGAAATGTGATATTCCGAGCAGTCGGACAAAATTTTGACTAATCGAAATTTTGACATCGCAATAATAAATAAATCGCAAATAAATCACCCGTCTATTTTTGCAACCCGTTCGAATTTTTTACTGTCCGCGAACGTGTCGAGAACAGAATGGCCGTGGTCAATTAGGCTTCAAGGCCTTGGTCACGTCGGACCCCTTGTTCGCGAATCTCGCGATTGTTGAATGCTCGTCCACCCCGTTTCCCCCCGCCAAGCACGACTCCATAGACAGTCATTAAGCCAACAACACCCTTCTCGATCAACATTCCGATGCTTCCCGTCGATGATCTTTCGTTTCCTGCACCGTAATACCCTAAACGATTTAGCGTCAGTCTTCACCCATTGAAGTCATTTGAACACGTGATCCTGAATTGCCGGCCACGTTTCCGTCGACTTAAGCGGTGCGTGCCTGCAATGCCAAACACTCCTCAACGATCTCAATGTACTCCACATTGTCCCCGCTGCGAGATAGCATAATTCAATTCGTTTTTGTACTGCGCGTCTCGGCCAGGTTACAGGTAATTGTCGCGCGAGACATTCGAGCCGCTGGATGAATCTTTCTCAGTTGATGACGATTTGCGGGCAAATTACGGCAATGGGCGAGTTTTTACGGGGATGGGTATGCTCTGCGGAAATTTCTGCACACGCCGATGTAGTTTAATGTTGGATGAAGGGCATGGGAACCTGCGGATATTATGGTTGAAGGCGAGACAATTGGAAATGAGTATCAGTTTTGGCATATCTCGCCGCTTTTTATGGGTTTTTGCGAATTTCAATGATTTTTAAACGGGGTATCATTTAGGAATCTTAAAAGTAGAGGCTTCGGACTATAAAATGGAGCTTGAGTAGATTGTCGTACTATTTTTTTTAATGAAATTGCAACACGTTGAACATCGACAGTTTTTACACACTCTAGTGTCTTAGCATTTATTTATCTTATTCTCACGGATGTCTTTGATCGTTTACGGTAAAATCCAATTTTGATTTTTTCATTGCCAAAAAATCTGTCAATATTGTTTAAACATTATTAAAACTGCACCTTAAATTCGCACGACGATAGCAACGACAGTTTCCTGGTAAAAAATTCTCTAAGTAAGGCCAGTTTAATAATTATTTATATTATAATAATATTATTTAAATATTAGATATTATATAAATATTATAATATTTAAATAATACATTATATAAATATGAGGTAATTATTTAAACAAATTTCCGTAACTATATTACCTATTATTCAACTTACTCTCCGAACCGACGTTTTTCTGTAAAATTAATTTTCTCAGAGAAGTTGGTGCGAGAAACGGTAAAAATTGGCAGATGCGGGCTCAGATCATTTAATGTAATTAACAGACAGAGACTTGTCGCTCGGAAATGATACACGACGGCGGGTCGCACAGCTTTCGCTGAGGCGCCGCAACGGAAATAACCCGCGAGATGCGTGCCAGTGGTTCGCGACGTAATCGAACCCACGAAACGCCGAAGGTGTGAGAACCGGTGACATCGATCCTCGCTCGGAAATGTTTACAAAAGCCGGCACGATGGTGAACGTGTCCACCATGTAATAACAGGTACCGACAACAACGAGATTTTTCGAAAATAGCTCGGTCAGCATTGTCATTAACATGTTAATTATTAGACTGCGGATGTTCGTTTAAATCGTCGATTGCATAAGTTGACTCACGAAAATAGAATCCGTGCAGTTTGCAGTAATTGTTTATATTTACGGGGCAGAATTTTGTTCAGTGTAATTGCTGAGATAACCAGGAACGTGGCGGAGTTTGATTGTTTTTTTTTTAGTTCGTTTATTTGCAAATTATTATTATATATATAATATTATACATTATATTATATATTTTTTGTATAAAATATTTTGTTACAGTAAAACTTCAATATCGGATTAGAAATTGTGTTCAGTATTCTAGCATCATTTTGTTTCTTTTCGTCGGGAAAACATTTGAAAGACGCCGCGAATGTTTCGCTTTAATACGGAAAGTTGATTTTAACGCCATTTTTTCTCGAAACTTTACCGTTCTTTCTGACACAGCAAAAATTGTTGTATTCCTGCCTGAACATTTTACAATAACATAGGAACGATTATTGTTAAATCATGGTTCAGTTTGTCATAAAAAGACCTTACGAAAATTACCTCCAAAACAGACGATTGACTTCAGCGCCATCTTTTCTCGAAACTTTACCTAGCTATAAAAAGTGGTTAAACTATAGTTTGAACATTTAAGATTAACACATGAAGTCGATTATTTTGAAATCTGTTCTCAGTTAGTCCTAAAAAAAAATGCGAAGAACAACAGGACATCTGTGTCCAAAACAGAAAATCGTGTTTAGACTACACTTGTCCCTAATCTAAAATTTGCCTTTTCATGGGAGGTTTTTTATGGTGCTGTCCGATTCGCCGAAACAAATCGTGGGCACTCGGAGCTTGCGGATCCAGCTGAACAGACATTACGTGGGCTGTAGCCACGATGGAAATTCTATTTCCGTGCCGGCTCGGCGCGAAGCTTCTCCGAATACCTTTGAAATGCAGCGTTCTCGATCCTCGATGAAAATAATTCTATCGGCTTTCACAGCATAATCGCGTTTCGCTATAGCCGAGCGAAAAATCAAAAAATTCCTCCGTTTTAAAACGATTTCTCTCCGCTCGAAATGAACACCTATTTCCCGATTTTTCCTCGTTTCGAAGGCAAATGATCGAAGCAAATAGTGATTTATTATGAGCAAATGAACTAGCATAGTCTTTGCTCGCTATACTCGTGCCAAAATACAAGAATTTCCCTCTCGAAACTCAGGAATTCGAAGCAAATTAGCACTGCAATTTTCTTCGACATTTTCTTTGAAAATAGAAGCGAAACCGAACGAGTCGAAAATAAAAAGAGTTTCGTTCAAGGAGGATGAATTTTGCCAGAAGAAAAATGTTGCTTTTTTTTTCTTTCTCTAATTGTGGTTTCCTTGTCCGTCGACAGGGAACCGTGAATTGGAGCAGGTTTCCTGAAATAACCATAACACGTTCTGATACGAGAAACTGACAAGTAGACTGCAAAAAATGGCGGAGAACATAAAATCTTGATTGGGATTTAGAGATTTTTAATCGGCGTTTAAACGCTTAACAGAACGAGCGAGTTGGAAATTTGCATAAACGCCAGCTGTCTGGTAACGGATCATAAATTGTTGCTGATCTAATCTCGTGAGCCTAGAATTTGCAATAATAAACTAACTGAAACTGTCCGCTTCTGCTGGAAGATTCAATTAATATTCGAGATATCATTCTTCTAGAACCATTAGCTCGTAAATAATTAATTCTCTCACGGCCGCGATTTATTTATAGCAATTGCCTAACGCGATATTTCAACGGTAGAACGTTGCATAAACAAATAATTTTATTGCTCGAAAAAGATACCCACGGTTTTCTCTCTCTCTGGCTTTCTGCGCGCTCCGAATTTCCCTTAAGCCCGATTTTCAACGATGTTGCATAACCGATGCTGTTTGTTTAAAAAAAGCCGCGAAGAATTGTTATATGAACGAAACCCGAGAAAGCGTGCATTTATTTATAATTTCGTGCAAAGCGGTGATCAAAGGAGGCGCTTTTACCAAACTGATATTATTTTTGGACACCGTCTATACAGTGTCCCGCTCGAAATAGAGCACCGAGAGTAGACTCAGTCACGACGCCGGACAACAATTGCGTGAAAATACCACGTTCCGCGTTTCTGCCAATTGAATTCTCACTGAACGGATCGCGGGAGGCGCTATACAATCGCGGATCATAAATTAGCGTTGCTGTCACGATGTACGTTACATTGGCACCGCTTCCGGCTGCAACCTGTGCACTCTCGTATTGAGCCAAACTGCAATCCCGAGGCACGAATGAAATTTCTCAGGAATTTTTCCATTGTGACATGCATTAATTGCTATAGCATACTGATTCTAAGCAATAGATTACGTTGATATTAAAAACTGAACGCGACTGATTTTTGGGAGCGCCTCGAGTTGCTCATCGCAGGAATAGTCTTCAAGAAAGACTTTAGCTATATTTTTACATGAAGTTGTAACGTTTATCTTCCCTGGCAGCACTTTAGATTGACCCTGGGGGCAATGCTCCAAAGAAAATGATCAAATTCTAGATCAGTAGAGAGCTAGTAATGTCTGTTTTCCTAGAGCGCGCTCGGTGGGCGTGGCTTCGTTGCTCTCTGTGGCAAGAGACTAAGAAGGGGCGTGGGTTCACTGCCCCACAAGTGCTCCATATGTCCAGATTTAATATTTCCCCTGAGTCTGCTTAGATTTTGAAGTTCCTTTATTTCTGTGTGTACACTTATTTGGTTAGTTTACGGAAATAGGCGTGGCTGCGGACTAGAACACTCCCAGTTGGCGTGGCCTCGTTGCCCACAAGTGCTCCATAAGTCTATATAAACTATTTCTACATATTCTATTTTTATTTCCACATTCTTCTACAATTCTATTTCTACATAATCTATTTAATTTCCAAAGCCTGTTAATTTGTCCGCGCAGACTATCTGTTTCGCTATTTTTAAGCAAATAGGCGTGGCCGTGGGTCGAAATACTCGGCGGGCGTCGTTTTAATTCCCGTCTCTACGCAAAGAATTACAAAAGGGCGTAGTTTGATTGCCTTCACATTCTATCCTCGTTTACATCATTTATTTTCTATAAGAGCATCTTTCAAAAAAATCTTTTTTCCTTGAGCAGCGCTCGGAATAATTAGCAAGCAACGTAAGGTTCGCGAGAGCTACGCCTCCTAACTCCCGTTGCGCGCATCGCTCACCCGTGGCCGCCTCTTTCGTCTCGGCGCCAGTTGCTTTATGTGGGTGAACCATGGGTGAGCGAGACGCGCGGCGGGAGTCAAGAGGCGTGGCCTTGCGATCCTCACGTTGCATGCCGATAATTCCGAGCCCTGGTTTAGAGCGCACTAGATGGGCGTGGCTTCGTTTCCCCTTTCGTGACAAGGACATCAAAGAGGCTTAGTTTCAACCTTCAGCCTTCTTCGTATTTCCTAAAAAAAATCGTATTTCCTGTGTATAGTGTGCTAAGCGAGAGAGATCTCTGTTATCATAGTTCTCTGTACTCGCAATCATTCTACGAAACCCAACAAATAAAACACCATCGTCTCAGACGGTTTCTCGACACAAGAACTGAAATATCTCTTTTATCCGAACGATGCACGCCCACGTGTATCACATAAAATTCGTCAGAACCTCACATGCGAATTTATCAGCAAATCCCTGATTACAGACCTTCTGAAATATCTTCTACCATTCCACGACAATCTCCTCCTCCATTCCGTTCACACGAAAAGAATACTCTCACCGCACAAAACACAAATCGACAACGTCTCCTCGCCGCAGCCACAGGTCCAACCGATTGATCTAAAAAAAGCAGCCGCGTTGTTGAGCACGCTGATGTAGGATTTTCCTCGGAAAATACGCGGGCGCGTCAATTATCACCCTCTAACATGCCGTGCAATCGTCGCGCAAGGTGACGCGCGCGCGCGTGTGTCCATCTGTCGCGCGTCGCCGAGCGTGTTCGATTAAGCCTGGTTAGCGGTCGCCTAGTCAGCAGAGCGGAGCACGGATCGCGATTCACGTGAGTGCCGCCCGCGTCTATTTGCTCTTCCTATTTTCGTAGCCGTGTCGGTATATAAAGAACCCGTCCTCGGGACGTTGCCGAAAGATTTGGCAGCGCTCCGCGATTTTCTGCGTCGCAGCTCTCGGCGCCGTAGATAGAGCCGCTAGTGGAGCCGACCAGGGCCATAGTTCGGCTAGGGGAGCCGAGCCGGTGGTGTGTGCGACGTGGAAACTATCGGCGGTGCTCTAGCTTCAGCGCGGCGCGGCGCCGAGTGAACGCGGTAGCTCCCTAGGGCAGCAGTGGGCGGCGCCAGTCGCCAGTGACCGGTCCCTAGACGCGGAGCAGGCGTGCCCTACGCGGCGGTGGGCGGTTCTGGTCCCTAGCGGGCGGTACTTAGGGCGCTTAGGGCGCGGTGGGCGGTTCCCGGAGCGCAGTTGGCGATGCTCATGGGCCAGTAGGCGATCCGCAGCCCTCGGAAACCCCGTATCGACCAAAGTGAATCCAGAGAACGAAAGAGAGATCAGTTCTCTGCTTGTCTTTTTTCAGTCAACCGTTTTGTAACAGTGTCAGTCGGACGCGTAATGTCAGTGCACCGCTGCCAGCTTGTCCGCGACCACTGTTTGGACCGATCAGTGCTTGCCAGTGACCGGTGACGCGTTCTCGCGTGTTTCGAACCCGAGACACGTGCTTCGGACCCTGTTCAAGTGTCCCACCCGTTATTCCGGGCGGGCATCCTCGCTGCTGGCAGCGAACTGGGCCGGACGGAACGATACCAACTGGCACCGATCGGAGAATAAATACAGCACGTGGCGGTTTCGACCGCGGTAGGACTTTTGCAGAAGTAGGATTTTGAGAAGTGGTTCTTTTGGTGAAATGTGGTAAGAGTGAACGGGGATTTTGAACATGGGGAACGCCGACAGTGTACACGATGTCGAGATGAGCTCGTTATCGAACGTTGACGACGACCGGCCTCACATTGTGGTAAATAGTGCGGTGACGGTAATGTTGTAATTTGTTTTGTCTACTGTTTTCTTTTTTTTTGAATTGTAAGATTCGTGTTGTTACGTTATGTCGTCTTACTTGGAGCGTTTTAGGTGAACCGTTGTAAGATACTTTTAGGGATTCGAAATACTGTAAATAATTAATTAATTTAATTTTCCTCCATTTCTATAGTTGCCTGTTGTCAACAATTATAAAAAAATATAGAATAATCGTATCTCCTTTACCCAAATTGTCCATTCTTGTTTACATGCTGAAGGAGAATTGAGGAGAATATACCGTATATAGTACTATATAAAATATTCATTAACGATATATTTTGCTGCGAATTCAATCAGAAAAGTTTAATAGGTAAAATTATTTTCAAGCAGTCGCACAAAGTTACGACGAATATTTCTTCGCACAATTTTTATACTCCTCGTCGTTCAGAATATGTTTTACATTTTTGTCAGGGTTCAATGTTTCATTTTTATAGAATTTTTATGAAAATTTAATCGAACACTATATAGTTGACGTAGGTTGTGGTTATCTACAAAAAATACTAAGCCACGTACGACTAAACACCATTGGATCAGGAGATATTTGAGCTTGATTATCGTACCGTATTGTTTCGTAGTTCCTAGTACAGTCATTTTTATGGTTGCCAATTGTCAACAATTATAAAAACGAGGCGCAAGACTCGAATAATCGTATCTCCTCCTCCTAAATTGTCCGTTTTTGTTTGCGAGCTGAAGGGAAATTAGGAAGAATTTACTGTATATTGTGCTATATAAAATATTCATTAACAATATATTACGCTGCGAGTTATTATTTAAAGAAATAGAAGGTCATATGTGGATTCGATGCAAAGGAAAATTTCATGCGCATTAAAAGTTTCCGGAGCATGCGCAGAGCACAGTAAAACACTGAAACTTTCACACTGTTATCAGGAGTAGTTCGTGCGAAATTAAAGAGTTAATTTATGTATTACCATTGTGTGACACACCGTTTGAACTCGCATTTGCTACGTCGTCAAACGCAAAACAAAAGATAACGTGCCCCGACATTACGTATGCTCGCGCGAGCATGAATTCAGTTATGCGAACATTGCAGAATGTGTTGACTTTCCATTGACGATCTCTCGGTTATNATCAGTGCTTGCCAGTGACCGGTGACGCGTTCTCGCGTGTTTCGAACCCGAGACACGTGCTTCGGACCCTGTTCAAGTGTCCCACCCGTTATTCCGGGCGGGCATCCTCGCTGCTGGCAGCGAACTGGGCCGGACGGAACGATACCAACTGGCACCGATCGGAGAATAAATACAGCACGTGGCGGTTTCGACCGCGGTAGGACTTTTGCAGAAGTAGGATTTTGAGAAGTGGTTCTTTTGGTGAAATGTGGTAAGAGTGAACGGGGATTTTGAACATGGGGAACGCCGACAGTGTACACGATGTCGAGATGAGCTCGTTATCGAACGTTGACGACGACCGGCCTCACATTGTGGTAAATAGTGCGGTGACGGTAATGTTGTAATTTGTTTTGTCTACTGTTTTCTTTTTTTTTGAATTGTAAGATTCGTGTTGTTACGTTATGTCGTCTTACTTGGAGCGTTTTAGGTGAACCGTTGTAAGATACTTTTAGGGATTCGAAATACTGTAAATAATTAATTAATTTAATTTTCCTCCATTTCTATAGTTGCCTGTTGTCAACAATTATAAAAAAATATAGAATAATCGTATCTCCTTTACCCAAATTGTCCATTCTTGTTTACATGCTGAAGGAGAATTGAGGAGAATATACCGTATATAGTACTATATAAAATATTCATTAACGATATATTTTGCTGCGAATTCAATCAGAAAAGTTTAATAGGTAAAATTATTTTCAAGCAGTCGCACAAAGTTACGACGAATATTTCTTCGCACAATTTTTATACTCCTCGTCGTTCAGAATATGTTTTACATTTTTGTCAGGGTTCAATGTTTCATTTTTATAGAATTTTTATGAAAATTTAATCGAACACTATATAGTTGACGTAGGTTGTGGTTATCTACAAAAAATACTAAGCCACGTACGACTAAACACCATTGGATCAGGAGATATTTGAGCTTGATTATCGTACCGTATTGTTTCGTAGTTCCTAGTACAGTCATTTTTATGGTTGCCAATTGTCAACAATTATAAAAACGAGGCGCAAGACTCGAATAATCGTATCTCCTCCTCCTAAATTGTCCGTTTTTGTTTGCGAGCTGAAGGGAAATTAGGAAGAATTTACTGTATATTGTGCTATATAAAATATTCATTAACAATATATTACGCTGCGAGTTATTATTTAAAGAAATAGAAGGTCATATGTGGATTCGATGCAAAGGAAAATTTCATGCGCATTAAAAGTTTCCGGAGCATGCGCAGAGCACAGTAAAACACTGAAACTTTCACACTGTTATCAGGAGTAGTTCGTGCGAAATTAAAGAGTTAATTTATGTATTACCATTGTGTGACACACCGTTTGAACTCGCATTTGCTACGTCGTCAAACGCAAAACAAAAGATAACGTGCCCCGACATTACGTATGCTCGCGCGAGCATGAATTCAGTTATGCGAACATTGCAGAATGTGTTGACTTTCCATTGACGATCTCTCGGTTATTTCTCAAGTCGGTTAAATAAATAAAAATAAAAAAATAAAAAAAAAAAATAAAAAATAAATATATAAAAAAAAAATATAAATAAATGAAACCGAATATTCCAAAATTAAAAAATGTTTTGTCGAACAATTATTGTTTCATTATATTACACTTTTATTATAGAAACTATTCTCGTTTAACGTACTTTATAATAATTTTCAATTGATTGCTACGTGGCATATTTTATTTATATTAAATTCGTATTTGTAATGTGTCATTTTAACGACGAATTTTCTTTCAAATTTTACAACGCTGTAAAATTTTCCATCGAAGAACAGACGATCGAAAAAATATTTTATCCAATATTTAATCCAAAAGATGCTTGAATTTTGAGGAATGTTTTCACCGCATCGATACGAATGAAATAATTTGAAGGAAATCTGCGTCGTACAGGTTTAATGCGAAATATTATTGCAGCCGAGTTTCATCAAAATCGGTTAGTGTAACCTGAACATGTTTCCTCGTGACTAATAAATAATTGTGTCGCAGAAACGTGAGAATAGTTGGCGGTTTCGAAACGTGCCTTTATCAGATTTCTAAATCGAGAATAGGTCTGCACGTTACTACGCGGATTCGACAGCCGGCAACATTAGAGTAAGAAAAATTGGCTCCGATCGCGTAAGAATTACGAAAGACCACCATTGACAGGTCGAACAGGTTGTAAAAGCAGACCACGACGTATAGACCGTGCTCAGGCGCCAGTAAATATACGATATGCAGTGTGCACTCGCTTGACACATGATACAATGTACCGTGCACGGTTCACTTGATATTAATTTGCAATTATACACAATATAGCTATAAAAAATTTCGAACACTTCAATTAAATTCGAATTAAAATTAAACAAGGTCTTCTCAATAATAATAAAATCTTAATCTTTGTTTGGTTTTGATAATTAATCTCTGATTTATGTAGATTTTGGTAGGCTGAATATGAATCTCGAAACTGTTTGCTCCACGATTTTTGTTTTCGTGAAATTCTATTTTTTAAAGCAAACTCACATTTTTTAATTTGGCAAATCTTTTTGTTTAACAGTGACAGGTATACAAATATTGTGCAAGATAATTCCATGGACTCTTCTAAATATCACGTTGTGTTTTTTTATGCTGTTTTAAATATTTAAACATTTTTTAACAACGCTTAAAGAGACCGAGACGGTGAAATTAAGAAATAAAAATACCGTATTACACATTGTCTGTATACTTTTTCAATAAATTAAGTTATTTATAAAATTAAATTGTTAATAAAATTGAATTATTCACAGAAAATTGAATCATTAATAAAGTCGAACAGCTGGTTAATTATTAATCCAGTTGCTAATTAAATATCAATTTTTATTAGTCACAGTGTGAAAAAGTATTGATACTTTGCATTTACTGTTTAAAAAATTAAAGTATCGCAAATCTATTTACATGGTTCAAAAATTCGTAACTCATACTTTAACACAATTTTTCAATCAATTGTTGTCATTAACACACAGTAAAGTTTCCCTAATTGACCCTCAACTTGTACACAAAAATTGACAATTTTGGAAAAGTAGGTTCGAACAATCGTGTCTCCTCTCCCCAAACTGTCCATTTTTGTTTCCAAGTTGAGGGTCAATTAGGTAGAATTTGCTGTATTTAGCGAAAGATATTTCACAGTTCTAATTTCAACTATTTTTTGTCTACCCTTCAATGTGTACGAAATAAATCGAAAAAATATATGTGTCAGTTTGTCGGTTCGTTAGTTTTATGTGAAGCGTAATTCAGCAATGTGTCGTATAATTCCTGCATATAATAACGTGCGTTTGGTTATGTTACAGAGAACACCAATGCGCCCGATGATAGCTGAATACGACCCAAAGAAGCACGGTGTGAAAACAGAACTTTCAGACATGGTTCTTGTCAAGTAAGTGCGACACATGGTTTAACGAAACCGACGCGAACGAACAGTTCAACGATAGTTGAGCGATTCACAATCTGCTACCACGACCAATCATCACCATTGCTTTCTTGCCAAATCTCAAATGCTCCGTGCTCAAGCAAACGTGAGTGACAACCCGAGGATCATATATTGTGCATTCCATCGTATATATGTGTATTCTCTCATTCTACATGCTCTGTTATGTATTTTATTACATATAGATACACACATCCATTCATACGTGCATACATACATATATACATACGTACATACATATATAAATGTATAGAAATATTTTTATTCTGATTATTATGTTTATACACAGTCACTAACTAATACAATCACGCATACCGCCTGACCGCTGACGTAGAATTCGTAGCGTAGCTGCCACCAAAGTTGCTTGACGATTGACCGCTGAATCGTGACGATTCCATTGCTAGTTTGTGCTTCCATTTTGTTCACCGTGTTTACTCATACTCACACTGTATAGTTTCTGACCCTGTTTGCTCCGCCCACCCACCCTCTCTTAATCTTGTCACGTCCAGAAGTTGTTACAAAACTTTAGTAATTTCGAATTAGTCTCGGATCTTTATGTATTTTTAATAGTTACTAATAAAATAGCTGTACTTATTGAATAAATCTTTGTTATTTTTATGAAACGATTAACGTATATTTCCGTCAAAATGCACAGTCTAATAAATCTTCCTCATAGAATGTGATAATAGTTCTTAATTTGTTGAGCATAGTGACGATTATCTTCCTTGCACCGGGTAGGCGTGGTTTCATTGCTCTCCCGTTGGGCGGAGCCAGAGCAGTGTTTCGCACGGTATGCCACGCCCACGTTCACTTCAGATTCGACATCCCCCAAAACTTCAGATCCGATGATGCTTCTGTGAGAGAACACGCAGAGGCATGATCCACCTTGCTCGTGGGAGCCACAAGTGGGCGTGGCTTCGTTGCGTTCCACCAGTCGGAGCCAATCCAGTGCTCCGTACAGGAGTTTGCATCCGTATCTAATTTTTGTCCTACATTCCAACAAATCCGGTTTTAGAATCTTTCATTTTCCACGCAGAGTGTACCGAGTGGGCGTGGCTTCGTTGCTCTCAGCATTAAATTAACTCAGGGCCAATTCGGAGGAATTTGAAGGAAGTCGAGTCCGTCCAAAGATTGTCACGGTCATTAAATATTTCTATTTATTTATTTATTTATTTAATATCGCATTCTTTCACGTAAAATGCCAAGGTGGGCGTGACATTGTTGCCCCATAGTATGCCACCCGATGATGCGAACGTGTTCACGTCGATCTCGATTGTAGTTTCAAATTGCTCGACCAATCGCAACGGCAGTTGACGAAATTCTTCGAAAAGTCGAACAACCTCAGCGATTCTCTCTCGTTCCGCAAACTTCGCAATACACTTTAATTTATAATCAGCTTTTCTGTTTCGCTCGCTGTCGCATTTTTCCGACGTTTCTCACGCGACAGCGTAATCTTTACTGGGAAGCAGATACAATTGCCGTTATACGCAACGAATTACGTTCGAAATACTCTTCGCAGAAATCGATTAGACATTGCAACACCGAACAGTCTACGACATCGAATAACGTAAATTCTCTTGCACGTGAAGTGGCGGATGTTAATAATAGCCTTGCAACGTGCGCAAAATTATTTTACGTTATCTCGGCGCAAGGAGCTTCGAGTTACATATTTCTTGAACTTTTCGGTTCCTTAAATGTTTCAAAATTTTTTTAAAACTTTCGCTTTTCGCTTTATTTAAATTTGTATCGGTATTTATTAACGCGTTTGATTTTACATATTTTTCTATTTCGTGCAAAATGTCGATGTTCAACGATTATTTTACAACTTCTACCGTAGTTCTTTGACGACGATCATTTCTACAAAACAGAGATTCGTCTGTCGAAGAGAGATCCGCCATTTTGCGTGGAAATTCTTGCTTCGAAAAATCGTGAGCGGTCTCGTGAGCAAATGCTTTATCGAAGGGGACAGACACATGTTTTTCTTTTATCGATAGTAACATACATTTTCAAATAGAGAATAATAAAACATCGATTACACACAAAGAAAGGGGCCAGTGCTTCACATTTTCAAATGAAAACTGAGAAAGAGCTTGCTTCGTATCAAGAAATATATACATATATATATATATATTAATAAATGAAATGGTCTTGAAACAGGATGGTCTGCGACGTTCTGTCCAAGGACAGCAGAGCCAGAGAAAAGCAAACTGACATGAGAGGATACAATATAGATGAACCATGCACCTAAGAGTATCGATATCCCGCACAGACAAGCGATTCTCTCGATCGTCGATTTAGCGGCAGCGTCGTGAAGCCGAGAAAACTCGATTGGAATTTCCGCAGAAAATGGCATATTCCCCCTTGCTGCACCTTTCGATCGTTTTTTCAACGAAACGAGATCTCGGCGTTTCGAGACGGGGTACATATCGAATCGAGTTGCGCCCACCTTTCGACCGATTTTCGTAACGATTCGCGCGCCGCCGCCATTTCGTCCGCTCGAACGCGCCGCCTCGCGTTGCGCAAGTATTCCGTTGTTTCCATTCTTTCTGGCTAGATAACAGCATCGCGCGACGCTAATTGCAACTGCAATTCGATTTTCTTCAAAACGCGGCCGTTCAGCGAAACCTCTGCGCCCGGCGGGCTCCATTGCTAATTGCTAATTAGACGCGTATCGATCCGCGGAACACCTGTTGCCCGACCATCCGCTCGATCGCCGAGCGTGTAATCGGCGAGGTAGCTTTGCGACCGAGTAATTAGTTGGCGAGGTTAATTACAATTCCGCGAAACAAGGGCATTACCCGTTGATTCGGTCGACATTCACTGTGATATTCGGACGAGCTTCCGGTAATTAGCACGGCGACGATTAGGAAACGTGCGAAACAATGTTTTCGGCTGCTCATAGTTCCCTTTTCCTTTTCTGTTTTTATTTTACAAATTGAAATCTCGCGATAGATGCACTTCAATTTTTATTCATACTTTGTTTCGTCGTTAATCGTTTCTCGTCGCTTTAACGTTTCGTTACGAAATTTATTTCACTTGTTCTTAATGTAATGCGTAAACAATTTTCTTTATTTTATACAACGCTTCGTATCATTTTATTACTGTGTTCATAGAATTTTATAAATTGCTCGTGTATAGTTTTTATTCAATTACTCGCATAATTTTGTTAAACGCTTCACAAAATATAATATAATTTTATTAAATTTTATTACATTTATATTATAATTTTATTATAATATAATTTTATTAAATTGTCCATATTACTTTATTGAAATAGTTTCGTGGAATTATTCACTTAATTATATGCAATTATTCACACTTTTTTGTCACGTTATTTCGTATAGTCCGTGTATTATTTATCATATAACATAATTTTATTAAATTGTATTATATATATTGTATAATTTTATTATTTCCCAAAATTGGCAAAAATGCTCCTAGATCTGATATAAGTTACGTGGCGTTGATAAAGTAGAAATTTAACTAAAATCGGCGAAACAAAAATCGAAAATTCGCTAAAATAGAAATCGAATACCAAAAAAGAGAGGTATCGTCGGGAAAACAAGGAAATTATTCGAAGAATTTTGTTAAAAAAGGAAAAGGTGACTGTGTACGAAGAAATTAAACGCAGGCCACGAAAGGATGCACCGCAACGTGGAAATAGAAACGCGACGCCAAGGAGGGAAACCATATTTTGCTAGAAAATCGAGAGAATTTCTGCAGGGAATTATTCGAGAGAATTGTCGACATTTGAGATATTCGGGGAGAAATGAAAAGAAAAGAAAAGAAAGAAGGTGTAGGAAGGGGGAGTCCCCGCGGCGGTCTCTTCGTCATTGATTGAGGATGCTTCGGCCCTGAGGCCAAGCGGTGTGCGCGGGCGGACTGCTATCGTTTTCAAGGATATAAAGATGACAATTGTCTTTACCATATAATATGTGCATTTATATGATTCCAGACTTGCGTATAAACTGCGGGCATAGATTCGGGCTCTATGAAAGTGCTCTGCGAATAACATGAAAGTGACGCAAAAAATATATTAAAAAAAAATATATGTCAAACGGTCTCCGATGGACAATCGCGGGTTTAGACAAAAAAAAAAAACTAGAGAAAAAGTTAAACGGTCCGGATCTCATTTCAGGAAATAAAATTCCAAAAAACAAACAGAAAATAATTTGTAAATCGTGTGAGAACCTCTGACCGGACGTAACCGTGACGCAAACGCCGACGCACGTTCTCGAAACTCCGTCTTTTTATCATAGCGAGAAAATTCGTTTGGACAAAAACTAAAAAAAGAAAACACACAAAAATACCAGAAAACCAAATTGGCCATCGAGTAAAACAAAAGAAAAAAGACATAACGTAGATCGTTCGACGTGCGTGTTTTGTTTGGAACGAATATGTTGATACGAATTGTTTGTTTAAAAAAAAGTAATAATAACACGTTCGGCGAGAAGTGCAAAATGAAAAACGAAGGCTTGTTAGTCGTCGTACTGCGTCGTGGCGCTGGCCGTCGCGGTGATGCAGTGCGGTGGTTGCAGCGGCCTCTAAGCCTGATCGCGGCGCGTGAACTATTGTCACGTGTCACGTGACACACACAGACTCTATGACGGAGCTTTCTCGACAGAAAGCTTCGCACGACTACGGAGAGAACTACCGCACCTAAATGGGTACCTATATGCCTACACACCTAACTTTTTAACGATTTTTTATCACACTATTGATCGCCGACCTATTTGTCCCCCAACCCCCAACCCCCCTTCGAACACGTGCAAACACGTATACACACGTACATACACACACACACTGGAGACTCGAATGAAAATAGACCCTTAAAGTACAAGAGGGAACCTCTGGTGGTTCCTAGTGTCCGCAGTGAGTCCTAGGGTCCATAACAACTCCTATCGTCAGTCCTACGACACTGTTTGACACTGTTTGACACTGTTTGACACGGTTTGACACTGTTTGACACTGTTTGACACTGTTTGACGACGTTTGACGTTTGACGTTTGACGTTTGACGTTTGACGTTTGACGACGTTTGACGACGCTTAACGACGTACGTTTGTCGAGTTCCTACCCTCTCGACTGATGGATTCGTAACGGAGAAACAAAATTAGTTGAAATTTAGTTGAATTATTGGACATTGATTCTGGTTGCAACATGTTTGCGCACACGGGATTTCATGACAACTAAGCATTGTTATTGTACTTAAACTTTCAATTTTTGTTCAATGATTTCCTGTAAATATATTGTTTTCACTTCGCTGTTTCGTTCGGCCAAGTTTTCTTGCTCATTAAATAATTTTGTTGTTAACAAGCACTTGCGTCACTTCTGCAATTTTCACGGGCACGTTATACGTTTCGTTGACGTGAAAGCTATAACAAATGTTCACGTAATTATTAATCAATATTCTGTGGCTGGAGGTACAGAATGATTTATTATTAGATTATCGGATATTTTATTATTTAAATTACTTATTTGGTTGGATTACTTATCGATCTCGATTATTTATTTGTTCACATTGCCAATCGATTTTCATTTTTTATTTATTTACGCTATTTATTTATTTATTTACATTACCAATGCATCAATCATGACCGTTTGATCCTTTCTCTTTCGTTGGACTTCGTGCGTAACGGCAAAAGGCAGGTGCATGGGCGTGACAACGCCAACTTTCAAATGTAACGAAAATAAAGTTTAATAATATTATGCACCGGCTAAGGGGAAAGTTGTCTCATGCCCCGAAGGTCTCTTTAGATTGCCCTCCAGGGCAACACTCCGTTTCCTAATGAAACGTTCCAATTAGAAATTGGAACAGTTCCCCGAAGGGCAGTTCAGTCTTGATTACTATATCTCTATATAAATCTTGCTTCCACTACCATTGTTCTCTCAACGCAGAGGTTCTCTTCGCTTCTGTGTCTGCATAGCGCGCCAAGCGGGCGTGTCCACATTGCTCTCGACTTTTTCGGAGGCGTGGCAATGCCTCTCCAATAGTGTTCTAAGTGGGCGTGGCTTAGTCCATTTTTTTATTCAGCGTTCTAAATGGGCGTCGTTTCGCCATTTCTTTGAATGGAGTGCTCTAAGTGGGCGTGGTTTTACCAATTCTCTAGAAAATACTTTTAAATCGTCGTGATTTCGTTTCTTCTCGCGTACTACATTCTAGTATTCTTGCACAGAGCATTCTAAACTGGGCGTGGCTTCGCCTATTTTTGTATAGAATATTCCAAAGTGGGCATGGCCTCGCTCATTTATGCATAAAGTACTCTAAGTGGGCATGGTTTCTCTAATTCTGTAGAATTAGAATTTAAAAATTTCTTTAAAATGGTCGTGATTTCGCTTTTTTTTCTCGCATACTACATTCTAATACTCTTGCACAGAGCATTCTAAACTGGGCGTGGCTTCGCCTGTTCTTATACAGAGTATTATTATAAAGTGGGCGTGGGCTCGCACATTTATACACAGAGTGCCCTAAGTAGGCGTGGCTTCTCAGCTCCCGTTCTCAACCAATACAGTGCCCAAGTCACCTGCGTTCCTCTGACGTCGGTGGATCGAGCCACATTTAATTAATATTATCGTTAAATTATTCCACACCTTCCGACACTTCGAATCAACTTTCTTTCAAGATCACAAATATTTGATTCAACGATCCAATGATTGTTTCCACTCAAGATAAAAAAATATATTTACTGAAATTATTTGCAGATCTCCTCATCAAATAATTTTGAATATATTCCAAAAATGGTTGACAATGACAATCAGTTCTATCGTTTCTTAGGCAGCGCCTCACGTGAGCGATCAACTCGCGAGGAGTTAAAATAACCGAGGTCCGGTGGACTCCGTGGAGAGAATTTTGCCAGAAATCCTCCCGGAAGTTCGAATTTCTAATTCTGCTCCCGACGGAACCGGTCTCTGCCAAATGCGTCTCGTCGCCTCGCGATACACGAAACACGTGTCGCGCCCATGCACTTTTTCCGTGAATCGATGAACATCGTTGCACAGGCCCGACGAAAACCGCCGCCGCCGCCGCCGCGCGTCGAATCGAAACGTCGCGCCAAAAAATTCGAGGTCGATCGAAGTGTTTGTTTGCTGCGAATTTTTCTCGACTTTTCCCCCAGCATGCGCGCGCAGAACCGGAAGCCGGGCGACAGGGAGGAAGTCGAAGGCTAACAATCGATCGAAACGATCTAGAATCGTTGGGTACGATCGACCGGCACGTTGAAGAAACCAAAAAAAAAGAAGGAACACATTTTTTTCCGTCTCGTTATTATTTACTATGTACTTAATATCAATTTAAAAATTAGCGGATTCCTCGAGCGAAAATCTATCGAAAATGTGAGACGAAGTTTTCTTTATGTACGAGGCTTAGTGTTCGAGTAAATTTTGTTTCAAAATTTCCGAGCTTGAATTTCGATCCCGATTTACTTCGAAACTATGCTGTTTATCATAATTTTTCGATAATTTTTTATCGCATTGTTCGAAGAATCGTGCTGTTTTTTTAATGAATTTTCGAACTCTTTTTTTCTCAAAAGCGAAGCCTCGTATTAACGAATTTTATTTGATATTTTCGGCTCGTCGTTGTTTTATGTAGAATAAGAAGATATCGCGATAAGACGAAGCAGGAAACGAATATTGGTTTCTACGACAGTGAATCATCCAGGAAATCACGTTGCTAAATCCACTGTATCAACGATGAGAGATCTCGCATCGCTCACTGCCAACTCCATCCCCACCAGCGTAGATTTCTGCTTGTAATGAGTGTCCAGCTTTCGCTTGATCAAAACGCGTGGATCACGGCCTTATCGTGCATCGAGCTCGTTCAGAGTACGTAGCGTTTAATTCACAAGCACGTGCGCAGCAGAGACGTAGGCGGACTTCATTCTTCCTCTTTTGCCGTTGCCAACAGTTGAAATATTGCGCTGATTAATAGACTGTGAATCTTGCTGCGAGTCGAGATATTTCGTTAATTTATCATTTGCCGTAGAGAATTTCGTAAATTCATTTTTCGTAGCGGAAAAACAGCTTCATCAGATTCATTTTTTCACGGTGATCATTTATGCGAAGTACAGTAATTTCTGCCAGAAATGTTCGGAAGTCGGCAGATCTGAGAATACAGGTCGCGATTCTTCGAGTCTTGCGGCTAGTTTTTATACAAATTCGGGGCAGTCGGCAATAAAAACGATGACTTAACTTTTTTATTTCTTATTTTTTGCCACGATACGAAGGCAATTCGGAGGCCACATGATACGATTCGAAGGCAATTCGGAGGCCACGCGACACTATTCGAAGACAATTCGGGGGCCACATGATACGATTCGAAGGCAATTCGGGGGCCACATGACATGATTCGAAGGCAATTCTGGGGCCACATTACACTATTCGAAGACAATTCTGGGGCCACATGCCACGATTCGGAAACCACATGACATGATTCGAAGGCCATTTCGGGGGCCACGCGACACTATTCGAAGGCAATTCGGGGGCAACATGACACTATTCGAAGGTAATTCTGGGGCCACATGCCACGATTCGGAAACGACATGACACGATTCTACGGTTAGTAATTTCTCTCTAATTCGCACTCAAATTGCGCACAAAAATGGAAATTTGGGAATAATCGTATCTCCTCTTCCCAAATTGTCCATTTTTGTGCGCAATCTGAGCGCGAATTAGGGAGAAATCAGACGATTTTGTATTGTCTTCTGGGAATTTGTCGACTTTTGGCATCGACATGTAGCAATAAATTACATAGCCGTATTGGACTAGCGCAGGGAAATTCACAGCAACCCGAAATTTGGCATTTCCGGGAGAAATTACTGTACTTTTTCGACGTTCAACATTTGTTCTAACACCATCGTCGATAGTAATAATTTTTATAAACATCGATAGCAGACATTTTTCTAAGTCTTGTTTTCGATTCGATATAAATTTGGGAAAAACTGTGTAGAAAATAAAACGAGTAATTTGTACAGCTAGATTAACACCGATTAACGAAAGCATAATGAATAATTAATTGATGTTTCTAATACAACTTGTTCGTTTGTTCGTTGTGTTTGTCGTTTAACAAACAAACAGGAAAGAAACAAATAAAAGATTTGCTTCTACGATGTAAGAAAGTAGAACAAAAAATCGTTTGCGCACTGACTAAAATATAAAAATATTTCTTCTGTTCTAACCACATAAGCCAACAATCCAGTCATCATATGGACGTTGTGAAGTTTTGTAGCATCCTAGTGGATGATGATTATTTACAGTAAGTGACACCTAACAATCGGCACAACTAAGATTACGATGCATAGCGAAAAGAAACGATTGCGATTCATTCGAAAGTTCGTCTACACTGCTTCGCGAAGCTTTAAGGCGCTCCTATCGCTCTAGATCGTCGATAAAGTCAGTATAGTACTCCTCCCTGCTCCCCCCATCTTCCACCAACGGCGTGCATGCACGGTGAAGAAGGAGATGTCCAGTTAGCACCACAAACGAGGCATAGGAACCACGCGTAACTTAACATGCTTGTGTCAGTCGTTCTTCGGCCATGTTGGTTAGGAGACACGACCTAACCTAACCCAGTAGCTGAAATTACGAGAAAAGAACAAATTTGCCATACCCTCTTAGCCTGACAACGTTAGATAACAAGAATTATACTCGACTGCAATGACACAAGGAAGTTGAAGGAAGAACGACGAGAGTTAGGTGTCTTCTGCCTTGTCACCGCCAACTATCCAGACTGTAACAATCCCACCCAGCAACCAGTTCTTCGAACTGAACAACCCAGAACATTACATGATCACAATAGCCGGCCACCTCGCCCAGTACTTGAACCTCCGCCACAAGTCTCCCCAAAGAAGAAACGTGAAACACACTCACGATTCCAATAGCCGTCCGCGGGACTCGCCGATCACGAGCCAGTTCCGCGGACATCTTCAAGTGTCTTCCACATTTCCTCTTTCACGAAACGCGTCGCGTCACACTAGGTCTCTCACAGACTGCGGCACACCGCGCTACAAAAACCCACAACACTCAGCGACCCTCGTATGGTCCCCGCGCGCTCTTGCCCCATAGCAACCCTGCAGCAACGCTGGTAAGAGCACGCAGCTAATGGCGTCGGTTTTGCAGATACAAGTGCGAGAAAAATGACGTTCCGATTACCGTCACGAACGGCTCGACGTTGCCGCTCGTGGAGCGGCCGAACGACGAGGAGGCGGCGCTGTACAATCCGTTCGAGCACCGGAAACTGGCGCACCCAACCTCCGACATGGACACCCTGATCCATCTGCTGAAGGGCAGCTTGGGTACCGGGATCCTGGCCATGCCGATGGCGTTCCGCAACGCCGGGCTGCTGTTCGGCCTGTTCGCAACATTTTTCATAGGCGCCGTCTGCACTTACTGCGTGCACATTCTGGTCAAGTGCGCCCACGACCTTTGCAGGCGGACGCAGACGCCCAGTCTAGGGTTCGCGGACGTCGCCGAGGCTGCCTTTCTCGTCGGCCCGGAGCCTGTCCAGAAGTACGCTCGCCTTGCCAAGTGAGTATCTTCTCCTATTGCGTAAGCGGGCCGCGGAAATCGAAGGATCGCGAGCCGAAATGCGCGCAGGCTCGATACCGTTGTAGCGCATTGTCCGGTTCCGGTCGGTAAGTGACCGGCCGTGGTCGTCGGTCTCTGGCCGGCGGCCGACGCCGAAAATGGCTTCCCTCTTTCAGTCGGCTTTGCGCACGTAATAGCGAAGTCTTACGTGGAGGGCTCTCCTTCGAGAAACTCTCTGCTATGTTGACTTCGTCTCCCCTCGTCGGCAAATAGGGATTACCGCCCCCTAGTAACAACGGGCACCTTGCGTGAAATCCATTTATATATGTAGAGTAGACGATGGCCTATGCCAGCAGATGGAATTTCATCGAATTTGTTACGTTACAGAGCGACGATCAACTCGTTTCTGGTGATCGACCTGATAGGCTGTTGCTGCGTCTACATAGTGTTCATCTCGACGAACGTGAAGGAGGTGGCCGACTATTACACGGACACCGACCGAGACGTCAGGCTGTACATGGCCGCCCTGCTGCCTCTGTTGATCATTTTCTCCCTGGTGAGGAACCTGAAGTACCTGGCCCCGTTCTCCATGGTCGCGAACATCCTGATCGCAACTGGAATGGGAATCACGTTCTACTACATCTTCAGCGACCTACCCACCATCAAAGACGTGCCGAATTTTTCGAGCTGGTCTCAGCTACCTCTGTTCTTCGGCACCGCCATCTTCGCCCTCGAGGGTATCGGCGTTGTAAGTATAATCATCACAAGAAACTTTTGAAAGTAGCGATAAAAAGCCTTATCACAGAATTATTTCTGGCATATTTCTGGCATATTTTGTTTGTTTGTGTTTATGACTGGGAGGAGAATGTGTCGTTGGTCGGTCGGGATAGCTCAATCGGTTAAAGCAGTCGTCCGGTAAGCGAAAGATCCGGGTTTAAAATCCTTGTTCTGATCTATCCGATCGGTCGACTCATTTTCTTCTACAGAATAACTTATCGACTGATGGAAACGGGCTAAATTGAAGGATTTCGTAGGCCCTTCGCGGCATTTGTTTCGTCCGAGCACAATAAATTCTCCATAATTATCTCTTAGCGTGCAAGCAAAAATGGACAACTCGGGAAGAGGGGGGATACGGTAAAATCGAGCCGCGAGGCTCGAATAATCGTATCACCTCTTCCCATGTTGACCATTTTCGTTTAGAAGCTGAGAGACAATTGAGAAGAGTTCACTGTATTCGGACGAAACAAAAATGGTGCGAAAGATCTACGAAATGTCTGATGTTATGAGGTCAGGGGATAGCTTAAGGTCCAGTTATTGGGACACTCGCGTATTCTAGTTGGGTTTCCGACAACGAAGGATTCTACTGTAATAATATCATGCTTTACATACTAAGCAAAACTCGGATGTCATTTGTATGCGATTCGACATTCGATCGGTCGCAGACGTACCGCTTGAATCGCGTTTAGTATTTCAATCGTGCGATAAGACATCATCAGAGAATAGCCTCTCTTTATCGATCAGGAATTCCAACGTGCCAACATGATACATCTACATTCGAGACGAACGTTGAACCTAATCGCTGACACTGTTTCAATTTTTACTGTAAATGGAAACGTGAAACTGTTTTATAAAACACAGGGTGTCCCATAATTATGTTAACACTCGGAAAGGGGTGATTCCTGAGGTCATTTGAAGTAACTTTTTCCTTAGTCAAACTGCAATCCGCGGTTTCGTTTACGAGATATTGCGGAAAAACAGTGACCAATGAGAAGCGAGCGCGAGTGGCACAATGGCGGCCGAGCCAACGAGCGGCCGAAGCCCAGTTGCGTTGATCGGCTCGGCTGCGAGCTCGCCTCTCATTGGACACTGTTTTTCCTTAATAACTCGTAAACGAAGTCGCGGATTGCATTTTCGCTGTGGAAAAAGTTACTTCGTATGACCTCAGGAATCACTGCATTCCGTAACATAATTATAGGACACCCTGTATAAACAATGTTCAATGAAATTCAAGACATCCCTAAGCGATTATTATACCCCGCAACTGTTCTGCTGACTAAGACAAAAGTGTTGTTTTACACAAGCTGTTCTCTCTCGATGACCATTGTCTGACGTGTCGTTTCCTCTATCATCAAAGTTAAGCGCTAATCACGAAAACTCGCGTGTTTCAGGTGATGCCCCTCGAGAACAACATGAAGACACCGACCCACTTCATCGGTTGCCCTGGCGTGCTGAACACCGGCATGTTCTTCGTGGTTCTATTGTACAGCACCGTGGGTTTCTTCGGCTACTGGCGGTACGGAGAGTCGACGAAGGCGTCGATCACGTTGAACCTGGTCGAGAGCGAAATCCTGGCTCAATCAACGAAGCTGATGATCGCGGTGGCGATCTTCCTTACCTACGGGCTCCAGTTCTACGTACCGATGGAGATCATCTGGAGGAACTTGAAACAGTACTTCGGCTCGCGGAAGCTGGCCGCCGAGTACGTGATCCGGATATTCTTTGTAGTGTTCACCGTCGGTGTGGCGATCGCTATCCCGAACCTGGGCCCGTTCATTTCGCTGGTCGGCGCGGTGTGTCTGTCTACGTTGGGGCTGATGTTCCCATCGATAATCGAGCTGGTTACCGTCTGGGACCAAGAGGACGGGCTCGGCGCTTGCTACTGGAGGCTCTGGAAGAACCTGGCGATCATCACGTTCGGCGTGCTCGGCTTTCTGACCGGCACCTACGTCAGCATCCAGGATATCCTCGAGACGAAATGAAGCGCCGGGTTCGAAGGAGCTGCGGTGCGACGGAATAATCGCTCAGTGCGTACCATAGATGCCGACGGGCTCGACACCGACCGCGCTCCAAGCGAGCTGCCCCGTCGCGCCACCTGGCCGACGGTCTCATGGACGGTGAGGCCGCCGCCGCTGAAGCATCCAGGAGGAGTTACGCGGCCACGCGAGCTCCGAACTTCCAGCTTCGTCTCGCTGCTTCTCTTTCCGTATCGGTAGCACGACGACTGCACCGACGACGAAGACGTCGCCATGGGCCAGGCACAGCAGTAGACCATACGGTTATGTGTCATGCGCGATCTGCATTACCGGCGATGCTAAACATCTTACGCCATCTGTCTAAAGTAACGGTCGGCGAGCAAACTACGCGAGACTGTGGAACGTTTGTGGGCACGAATTTACGGGGTTGCCGGATCGAAAGGCGTAACGTTGCCAGTTAACAGGGGGCGCGTATGTCGAGGGTTTCTGTCTCTAGGGACTGTATTCCGTAAATATTTCTGGTTCGAAACAAGAGTACATTCTTGAATCATTGGCAACGTCGAGCGTGACACGAAAGTGGTCTACTACTATACCTCGTCTGTGACGTCGCGTAGATACGAGCCTGTAGCGCACTCTCAGTTTCTCATTATCTTGCCCCTCCGCCACATATTCTCTCACATCATAGAGATACAGCATGTCTTTTGAAAGCAGGGACTTAGGTACTCTGATGGTCATAATAGCTCGGCTTGTGCCGCGAGGGTTGTTCGAGTGGGCCGAACGGCTGTTATCGTTGTCAACTTTATAGAATTTTACACTTCAATCAGACGGTTCGCAGAAGACCATCCTCTACAAAATATTTTGCACTCAACTGTACGATAATTTTTTACAAACGTCTAGCGTACCTTAGCTTCCTACTTTCGAACGACAGGTCATAGTTGTATGAAACGAGTTCGTGTACTTTGGCGCAAATTTTCAAGACTGGGACCCCTTTTACTAGAATGATCATTTGTGACATCGTTTTACTAATTTAATTTATTTCCATTCATGCGACGATTTTTTACTACATATTGTACACACGTGTTATTTTATATTAGATCGACTGGAGCACAAATGTTTGCACAAACGAAGCTTTTCATGCAGTAATTGAATATAAAATTTATGACGAGCTCTAAGTTGAATAAATAGATGAGGCCTCCGTTGTTAATTTTAGACAGTATTGTACTCTCGAAATGTTTTATCATATTTTTTGAAGTATTTTATTATTTTATTCTTGAGTACTGCGGAAACGATATTTCGACTGCTATTTTATGGAATTTGATCTGATTGATTGAATACACGTGTACACGAACTCCTTTCGAAGAAACCTCTCGCCATCACCGTTCCCCTCTCCGACGACTTGTGTACTCGAGTTCTGCGTCTTCGTAGAAGACGATGTGTATATCATCGATCTTCGCCGATCTACGTCTAGAGTCGTCGCTGTTAACGTCGCGCCGTACAATGCCGTACGCCACGTGTAGGCACGCTGAGAGTCATTAACGTCGCGTGTACCATATAGACATCATAATACAGCGACGTCGACCAATGATAGCGAGTATGTTGACGCCTTGCCATATTGTGTTAGCCAAATTTAACGTTGTTCGATTTGGTCTGAACGTTTTAGTTTAATGAATTTTTTCAGCAATAATAACAGCAGTCCTTTCGAATGGATCAGTTTGTAATATTCTTTAAATTTCGAAAAGAATCTAAGATTACCTCAAGCTAATATTTTATTGATTTTTAAAAAAAATATTGTGATAACTGTTTTCTAGTTTTTTTAACAAAAATTGCAAGGTGTTCAAAATCGAAGAAAACGAATAAATGAAAGTCGTCGAGACAACATTGCACTAACATCTTCTATATTCAATTATACGAAAACATTTTGTGTAGCTCTACATATTTCTGTTAAATTTTATCTGACAATCTTCGGAAAAATGATAATGAGGGAGTAAACATTTACCAATTTGCAAATTGATTGACATGGTCACTGACCAATACCTGACCGTCTGATCTTACCATGGATAGTCAGTGACCTACATTTGTCCCTTCAACGGTACCAATAGTGGTCACTGACCGACACATCTGATCCTCCAATGGTACTGTCATAGACACGCAATTGTCAGACATACCAAAACCCTCGGAAGCTAGACAATTTTTTATTAATTGGACAAGACTAAAATTCGCAGTTTGAATTAAACGAGCTACGGGATGTTAATGATTGTCAATGCGCGCAATTATACGTTCGAGCGATTAACCGAGCAAAGTCAACGGCACATCGTGGCTCGGAGTACCCGGATCCATACGATCGTGGATCGTGCGAAATCTTGAGACGAGTAACGGCAGGGGCGTAGGCACAGGGGCATAGGCCCCGACGCCTGGGTCTCCTATATATATATCTCTCTATTTCTCTCTTCTCATTTTTATTATTTATTCGCGGTGCGACGGCCGTGCGCACGAACGACAAACGCTTTTTTCCATCGAGATCATAGACAACTGCGGGACGGTTTTTTCCTTTGTTTTTCTTTTTTTTTTCTCTCTCTAGTTGCTTACGTACACGCGGTACGATTATAGATATGTAAATTATACTTAAGCGTCGTTTTTACCTAAGAGCTGGGACCGTTCGCGTTTTCGGCTTTAAACGTGTGTGCGTTCGTTCGTTCGTTCGATTTCCTGCGACAAGAGAACGATTTGTAAGATAAGAGGCTCCGGAAGACGAGCGTTGAATGATCTGCTCCCGCTTGGATCATGTGATTTATCGAAATGGCTGACATTCTCATGCGGCGAACAAAATTTCTGATAAGATTATCTGATATCACTGAATTTTGCAATGGATATACGTACATGGAAATAAGAAAGACCGGAAGTCGATTTAACTCAGCCTACACGCTACAATTGGTTAACTGCACTTATAAATTTAGACACGTGGACAGCATCCAAGAAAAAGCTATTATTCAATTGCGTACAGTCGTATTTATTATTGCTATTACTTAATATTGTTACAATTGAATGGTTGAAAGCTGTGTTATATTTTTTAATTAGATACGTTGGCCAGCCAAGATTAATTATAACAGTGATCTATGATCACTGACATCCTAATAGAATTCAGTCTGTTACTGTGTCATTCAGTCGCAAATAGAAATGATGTTCCTATAAGGTCTAAAAAACACCTTTGACTTTTTATAATATAAATTGCTTGTTTATAATAAAACAGTCTGCATAAGTGCTGCCATTTTCTCAATTCTCATTCAGGCATAAAGCAGGTTTCGAAAGTATTCTTTTCGTTTGTTTAAAAAGAATGTCTACGAGAAATTGCAATAAAAAGGTCTGTATTCGTTAAATTCAACCTCAAAGACAACATTTTTCACGACAGATCGGAGATCAAACGGTTAGCTTTAGAATCATTCAACATTATTTTCTCGAAGTGAGAACGTTCCAAGTTGGCGATGTCAGATCGAATCACGTGACACGACCGACCGGAGCCACCGATCTGTTCCTAGTGCCTTGCTGCACAAAAGCAAAAAACGTACAAAAATGGTTACTAATTAAGAGTAATAAGAATGGCGCGTAGATGTGATAATACCGTGATGCATGCTTGCTAGTCTGTAAGGAGTTTAGCGAGACCCATGTGGCGCGACGCGTGCGCCAGCGCGCGAAATTCAAACGCTGATCCGACATCGAGGAGGTCAAACATGAATTTCAAGAACGGTAAAAGTGGAACTGCTCACACCAGTCAACACTATTTATTTTGCATTCTATTATAAAATCGACGACTGTGCCCATTGACAATAATCCAAAGCGAAACAATAGAATTGCTGGAATGCAAACGAAAATTCTAACGATTGCGAAATAGTACAAAAAGTAATTAAGATCGATTCTTATATAGATTAAACCTAGAACTACCTAGCTGAATAATAAGACTGCATTTGTTCAGATTTTGCAAGATTTTTATTATCATGCATTGATTTCCTCCGATAATGATTAATTTAAGGTGATTAAAATTGCAACAAAATAGTGAAATTGAAAATGTCGGAATTAAAGTGGCTCGTTCGGTAAGGTAGTTCTAGTGTTGAAACAGGGAGTTTGATGGCGTGCGAGTCGCAAAGAACTAAAATCATTGCTAAAAACATGTGTCTCGTTTAATTTTCCTCGAACTTGTAATTTACAAATCAAAGTTAATTATTTGTTGATTCGTCAAAATTTGACAATAATTGTTGCATAAAATAAGATCAACAACTTGAATTTCTCAAAATTTAATAGAAATTGTAATGGTTAAAATCGTATTTTTTAAACTTACATAAAATAGTTGACCTGCAGTTCATGTAAACATTTATTTATAAATTATTTCATTCCTTAAGGGACACATGTATGAGGACTTTGCGTGCTCAGAACGGAGATTAGTGCCTTGGTTCTTTCCTCTAGTGGGGTTTAAGGTCAGATCGAAGCCATATATATAGATCGATGAAAATTCGAAATTTTTGCCAAGCATCATCCGTGTTTCACTAGTTTTCTGTACTCGTCCATTCTTTTCGATTGTTCACGACGATGATCGTCTGTATCAGTAACACGTACGACGATTTGTATTCGTGAAAGGAGAACTTTGGAGATTGAAAATCACTTTTTGAAAATTGTTCTTATATGGAAAACGAAATACAGGCAGACAGACAGACACACAAGACACCGTTTCGCCGCTTTTGTACTTCGAATTTCCGTTACAGATCGCGAGGAGAATGTCGTTTCGCGTGCACGCGTGTACCGTGCACGCTATCAATCTGTCAGGCATTGTGCGAGACAGTGTTATGATATTTAATACACAAGATTTGCAAAAGATCTACTGTTCTTTTCATTTTTACCTATATTTTCCTTAAAAATCATTTATTGAAGAGACACTTGGTTTAAAACTCTTTGAATAACGTGATTTTTAGGACTATGTTTTCTAATAAAAACTATTTACAACCAATTTGGTATGAATTTCGCATGAATTTGACACCAAACTATAGCCACAGACTTGGGATACGTACAGAATATATTAGGTATTCAATATACTAAGTATACAATAATCAATATATTAAGTATGCAACATTCACTACGTTAAGTATTTTTAACATATTAATTATATTGTATATAAAATATTATATAATATTTTCAACATATTAATTATTCAGTATTCAACAGATTTATATTTAATACATTTAATGTGTCACATATATATATATTTAATATTATTCAATATTAGTATGTCTTATGGGTTTTTCTGTCTTAGGTATTTGTGGCCACAGTGGTCGCAGTACCATCGAAGTCTTCGACGATTCACGAATTAAGAAGTGTTAGCAAACACCGAGTATCGTATATACCTTATTTCTATTACGAGTGTTCAAACAAACGAGGGTTCCCGTCTGTGATAATCGGCGATAAAAGCGGAGCCAATTTCATTCACTCGAGCTTTCACATTTCGCCGGGAGATGGCGCCACGGTTCACTTTTCCGAGCAGATATCACAAGTTTTGTCAAGTATTTATTTATTTTGGTAAGATACAGCACCAAATGTATTCTGCACTACATTTATTTAAGATCTAGAATATCGAATACATTAAATATTGTGTGCAAAATATATTGGATGTTAGGTGCAGACATTGAATACTATTAAATATGTCATGTGTTAAACGTATTGAATATAAATCTGTTGAATGTTGAATAATTAATATATTGAATATTGCACGCTCATATATTGAGTATTCACAATATTAAATATACTTAACATTGAATATTGAATAGATTCATTGTTCAATATTAAATATATTGATTACTGAATAGATTCAATATGGGTAGATGTGTATAAGAGACAGGTATATATTTGACGTTCAATATTAAATTATTTTGATAATTGAATACATTCAGTATTGAATATATTGATCATTGAATACATTCAATATATTCAACGTTAAATATTGAATATATAAGCATTTAATAACGTATATATTTAGTTTTGAATATTGAGTACATTCACCATTCAATATTGAATATATTAACGGATATAATATATTCAATACATTTAATATCCAATATCGAAATAGTCTATACCTGTCTCTTATACACATCTAGATGTGTATAAGAGACAGGTATATATTTGACGTTCAATATTAAATTATTTTGATAATTGAATACATTCAGTATTGAATATATTGATCATTGAATACATTCAATATATTCAACGTTAAATATTGAATATATAAGCATTTAATAACGTATATATTTAGTTTTGAATATTGAGTACATTCACCATTCAATATTGAATATATTAACGGATATAATATATTCAATACATTTAATATCCAATATCGAAATAGTCTATACCTGTCTCTTATACACATCTAGATGTGTATAAGAGACAGGTATATATTTGACGTTCAATATTAAATTATTTTGATAATTGAATACATTCAGTATTGAATATATTGATCATTGAATACATTCAATATATTCAACGTTAAATATTGAATATATAAGCATTTAATAACGTATATATTTAGTTTTGAATATTGAGTACATTCACCATTCAATATTGAATATATTAACGGATATAATATATTCAATACATTTAATATCCAATATCGAAATAGTCTATACCTGTCTCTTATACACATCTAGATGTGTATAAGAGACAGGTATATATTTGACGTTCAATATTAAATTATTTTGATAATTGAATACATTCAGTATTGAATATATTGATCATTGAATACATTCAATATATTCAACGTTAAATATTGAATATATAAGCATTTAATAACGTATATATTTAGTTTTGAATATTGAGTACATTCACCATTCAATATTGAATATATTAACGGATATAATATATTCAATACATTTAATATCCAATATCGAAATAGTCTATACCTGTCTCTTATACACATCTAGATGTGTATAAGAGACAGGTATATATTTGACGTTCAATATTAAATTATTTTGATAATTGAATACATTCAGTATTGAATATATTGATCATTGAATACATTCAATATATTCAACGTTAAATATTGAATATATAAGCATTTAATAACGTATATATTTAGTTTTGAATATTGAGTACATTCACCATTCAATATTGAATATATTAACGGATATAATATATTCAATACATTTAATATCCAATATCGAAATAGTCTATACCTGTCTCTTATACACATCTAGATGTGTATAAGAGACAGCCAGAATAGTATACAATTAAATATGCTGCTAAAGATTGGATTTTGGTTTTTTGGTGTATATATTATACTATAAGTTGTAATATTTATTTCGATGACTAATGTAACATGGAAATATCCGAAATCTACAGTCCCATTAAAAAAAAGAGTATTCTTGAAATTTAAATCTAAGACGTTGCCTCGATGAAGATTCTCTGCCCACTACACTTTTATCTAATATAACTAACAAGTGAAATATCTAAGTTGCAAAATTTATACGAACATCCAAGCGATACTCTTGAAGCTGAAAAATTGTAATATTTCTAATGTTACAGGAGGTCTCATTATTATTATTATATTACAAACCTTGGAAGTTAGTTTGTAGAATTTAAAGACATCGAGTGTCAAAATGTTTCAAAACGATATTTGCCCCGAACGCAATAAATTCACACCTGACATCGCATTGTATCGCAGACCGCAATTACAATGTGTCCGACCGATCTAATGCCTCTTAACTCATTGTCCAGGTAGGTGGGTTCCGGGGCCCGTTGACGGAGCCCTTCGTGAAAGTCTGCGAGGGGACACCTGCGACGTGGTCGCGCATTGTGCCCACATTTCACAGGTGAGTCCACCTACTACGCGCCGGGTTTATGCTTGCTACTTTGGACAGAGCCGCGTTTTATTGTCTTTCTGCCGACTCGTAGATCCTTCGACAAGATACCCATTGTCCGAAAAGGTTGCTACACTGCCCACACCGGGCTTACATCATGCGCGTATTCCCATATCCGTACGTCCTCTTCGACGACCGCCTGTCAAGCCTATTCTTCCGGGATTTCTTTTCACGAAACCTAAACAGCACTTTTTTTCAAACGTTTCGGCATTCGAAAGTATACATTTCACAGTACTTTTCATAATTTTTCCATGGCAATATATACATAAACGAATGAGACACCGGTGGGCTTTAGGCAACGGACCTCTTTTGAGCATCTATGATTACTTTGTACATATTTTGGACTTTTTCTCAAGGAACATGATGATCTTATTGTTATAAACTTTTGGGTGTTCCAAAGTACATTATTGGGATCAGTTAGAGTAATTTTTTGCATGCAAAATGTAAATAAACAAACGAAATACCAGTGGTCCTTAAGCAATAAGCTTCTTTGAATATTTGTGATATCACTACTTTGTCTATCTTTGCGATATTTTTTCAAGGAACATGATGAGTTTATTTCAATAAACTTTTGGGTGTTCTAAATTGTACACATTGGACCAGTTATATAAATTTTTTAAATGTAAAATGTAAATAAACAAATGGCGTACCAATGGTCTTTAAGTAACCAGCATTTTTTTAATAATTCGTAATATCACTACTTCGTTTATCTTTGCGATTTTTTTTCGATGAACATGACGGCTTTATTTAAATAAACGTTTCGGCGTTCTAAAGTGTACACTTGGGACCAGTTATAGAAATTTTTTTAATGCCAAATGTAAATAAACAAATGGCCTACCAATGGTCTTTAAGTAACCAGCATTTTTTTAATAATTCGTAATATCACTACTTTGTCTGTCTCTTATACACATCTAGATGTGTATAAGAGACAGGCCTACCAATGGTCTTTAAGTAACCAGCATTTTTTTAATAATTCGTAATATCACTACTTTGTTTATCTTTGCGATTTTTTTTCGATGAACATGACGACTTTATTTAAACAAACGTTTCGGCGTCCTAAAGTGTACACTATGGACCAGTTATAGAAATTTTTTTAATATCAGATGTAAATAAACAATAGAGATACCAATGGTCCTTATGCAACTAGTTGTTTCCAATAATTTGTATTATCACTACTTTGTCTACTTTTGCGATTTTTTTTCAATGAATATGACGACTTTATTTAAATAAACGTTTCGGCGTCCTAAAGTGTACACTATGGACCAGTTATAGAAATTTTTTTAATGCCAAATGTAAATAAACAAATGGCCTACCAATGGTCTTTAAGTAACCAGCATTTTTTTAATAATTCGTAATATCACTACTTTGTTTATCTTTGCGATTTTTTTTCGATGAACATGACGACTTTATTTAAACAAACGTTTCGGCGTCCTAAAGTGTACACTATGGACCAGTTATAGAAATTTTTTTAATATCAGATGTAAATAAACAATAGAGATACCAATGGTCCTTATGCAACTAGTTGTTTCCAATAATTTGTATTATCACTACTTTGTCTACTTTTGCGATTTTTTTTCAATGAATATGACGACTTTATTTAAATAAACGTTTCGGCGTCCTAAAGTGTACACTATGGACCAGTTATAGAAATTTTTTTAATGTCAAATGTAAATAAACAAAAGAGATACCAATGGTCCTTATGCAACTAGTTGTTTCCAATAATTTGTAGTATCACTACTTTGTCTACTTTTGCGATTTTTTTTCAATGAATATGACGACTTTATTTAAATAAACGTTTCGGCGTTCTAAAGTGCACACTTGGGACCAGTTATAGGAATTTTTTCAATGTCAAATTTAAATAAACAAAAATGATACCAGCGATCTTTCAGCAACCATCTTTTTTCGATCATTCGTAATATTATTATTTTAAGGAGCATTACGACACAAGGAACTTAGACAATAGTTTCAAACAAA